TATTTCCCCCACCAAATATATCTGGAGAGAGAGAGAGAGAGAGAGAGAGAGAGAGAGAGAGAGAGACCTTGAACTCTGCACGTATGGGCATATGTATTTCCCCCATCAAATATATCTGGAGAAAGAGAGAGAGAGAGAGAGAGAGAGAGAGAGAGAGAGAGAGAAATGTCTATTTCTAAGGAGTTCCCAGGTGCTGAGACTGGCTGGGGACCACACCTTTAGAACTATAAGCCCACACAAAGCAGTAATGAATAAACTTTCTAATGCCTGTATTTCTCTGTGCTCAATACTTTAGCTTTTGAAATAGAGTAAGTTATAAGATATTCACCCATCCAAGAACTCAGTTGCCCTGTACAGTCATCCGGCACTGGCTGCCACATGGAGAGCAGTGTGAAAATGACTACATATTTGGGCAGATGGTTTGTGAGTCAGCCTGGAATAAGAGGGGCGCTACTTAGCATGTCTAATTAGCAGTCACAGATCCTAAGGCCTAGTCTCCCTTCTTTTTCTCTCAACAAAATAATGTTAGAAGTGCCAATGAAAACAAGACAGCCATACAAATTATGGTTTTTGAGCTTCCACATCTTCAATCCTTAAAGAAGCAATGCATTAAAATGTTCCTTTACTAGTCAGGATGCTAAGGTATAGCCGTAGAATTCAGGTCAGCCGGTGTAATGAAAGATGATATAAGGTCTCATGGGGCTTACAGAATTTGAGTGAACTTAGAAAAACCTGGATCTCATCCAGAACCCTCTGGGAAAAGTGAGAGTTAGTGATCCGTCTTATACTCCATAGGAAGGCATCATAGGAGGAGATTACAATGGTTGAATGCCCATCCTGTATCATAACCAAAGTGTGGCTTAGTCTTTATTTTCAAGCTGAATGTTGCTAGAATATCAACTCTTGGTTTTATAATTTCACATAAGGTCTTATGACTTGGGCCAGTGTTGAAGGAAAGACATGAAAGTAAATTGACCAGTAAAAAGAAAATTTTCTTAAAAAATTCTGTAATAGCTAGGCGTGGTGGCACATGCCTTTAATCACAACACTTGGGAGGTAGAGGCAGGCAGATCTCTGTGAGTTCAAGGCCAGCCTGGTCTACATAGAGAGTGCCAGGACAGTTGGGGCTACAGGGAGACCTGTCTCAAAAAAGACCAAAAAAAAAAACAAAGGCTAGCAGTAGGTTCTAACCTGGCAGAGAGTTGGTATCTGTCTTTGCATTCCTGGGATTTTAGGATTCACTAAGCTCTTTCATTTGAGGACTAGAAAGACAATCTGGTAACTACTGTAACACAATACTTATTCCTTTGCAACTGGTGACCCCAGAGCTTTAAGTTAAAGTACTATGCTTCTGCATTATGGGACAATTTGGTGACACTGGAATTTTTGAAAATATTTGACTTTGATATATTAATTATAAAGATTCATTCTACCATTAATTGTTTTATACCATATATTAAGTTAAAATCATCGTTGGCTTTAGGTAGTCAGCAGATCTTCTGAATTATGAAATGAGATGTTTTAGTTTAGAGCTATTTTTCCATCAAATAGCACTGAAACACTGTGTACTAAGGAATGCTGAGTAGAACCTGAGGCCAAAACACCCTGCTTGGATTCCTCACGCTTCTTCTTTGCAGCATGAACTGATGGCTGGCTATAGTAGGAAATGTCTAAGCTGTTAAAACACAATTACAGTGCAGTGGCTTAAAGGAAATGAGGGATTATGTTCTTCTGAGGTGCCTGTCAAGAGCAAGAAAAACAAGAATGATATATATATATATGTATATTATAATTGAGATTTTGTGAATTTCATACAATATATTTTGGTAGAATCTATTTTTTTTAAAATTTTTTTTATTTTTAGTCTTTTTGAAACAGGGTCTCCCTGTAGCTCCAGCTGTCCTGGAACTCACTATGTAGACCAGGCTATATATATATATATATATATATATATATATATATATATATATATATATATATATATATATATATATATATATATATATATATATATATATATATATATATATGCCTATAGAGTCAAGTTTGTTTCCCCAAATGTCCTTCAGTGTGGGTCCATCACTGGGGCCTGGTCAACCTACCAAGAGCCACACCCTTAAAGTGACTGACTTCCTAACTGCCTAGCAGTTATTAGTTGCCAATAATTCCTAGGTAGGGCTGGAGTTTCTTATCCATCTTCCCATGTTCATGCTGGGATTTTGTCTGGCTTGAGCTTACATGGGACTTGCGCATGCTTGTCCCCATTACTCTGAGTTCATATGAGTAACTGACCAGCTGTCTGGAAAACTCTATTTTCCTGTGGTCATCCATCACTTTTAGCTCTTACAATCTTCCTGCCCCTTCTTCCATAATGATTCCTGAGCCTTGGGAGGCAGAAGTTTGATACAGGTGTCCTATTCAGGGATAAGCACTCTGCAGCCTCTTGTTCTCTGCACATTGGCTGGCTGGTTGTGTGTCTCTGTTTTTTATTACTATCTGTTGCATAAGGAAATTTCTCTGGTGAGAGTTGAGAGAAAAGAAAGAATGGTATATTAATGATTGTTTTATTTAACAGTTTCCATTTCTGTGTCCAGGTTGGTTATAACGCCTCTTCTTTAGACAGTTGGAAGGAGGAAAGAGGCAAAAGAGGGGGGCACACCTTTCCTAGTTCTGAGTAAAACTTAGAAGATGTGCACATCACTCTGGCTCACATGTTTAGTAAGAACTTAGTCACAAATTCACATCTCTTGTAATAGAGGCCAGTGAGGGTCACCTATGGGTCTCAAATCCAGTGAAAACTTGTGTGGAGAATTCTGTAATTTAAAGGAGAGTGACTGGACATTTGTGGAAGTCTGAGAGATTTTGTACAGTGGCTTATCAGAAGTTGTGAAGGTTTTAAATTAAATTCAATTGAAATTTTTATTTTATTTTTTTTACATCACAGCTCTTTCATGGATGGACTCAACCTTGACCACCTGTGCTGGAACTGAAGCTCCTTAGAGGGGTCAGTGAGGAAGTCCCTTAAATTAATTTCTTGATGAGAGAATGACAGGATTTCGATTTTGAAAGAGACCTCAATTGTCACTTAGTCCAACCAGTATCTGAAAATCATAACTAAAGATCTATCCAATTCTATTTAATTCTGTTAAATTATAGAATTCTCCATACAAGTTTTCATTGGATTTGAACACAGGTCCAATTTTCCAGGAGAAAAGCAAGAGATTACACAGTCCCAGGTTGTTAGTGACCATTGGGATAGCATCCAGAGAACTTGACATTTCGTTTTCTTTCTGCTGCTCCTGGATAAATCATTCTGGACTTGGCTTCAATCATGCTATGGTCAAAGAAAAGATATTTGTGTTTATTATAAACCACAGCAATCCATGGACTCTTACTTAAACACTGTACAATAATTGAGCTAGCAAATTCATTTGTAAAGATTTCTTTTACTTATTGAAGCAGTAGAGATTTATTAGGACATAGTTCATATTATAGCTATTTGGATGATCATACAAGTTAGTGAAAAGAGCATTGAAATGGAATTCAAAGGCTTGACCTAAACTTAGCTAACCACTAACTGAGTGATTCTTAAAAAAACCATTTGACTTCATTGGGATTAGGGTTCTTTTTGAAATAAGAAACTGACCATGGGGCTGGAGAGATGGCTCAGTGATTAACAACACTGACTGCTCTTACAGAGGACCTGGATTTGGTTCCCAGCACCCAATGGTGGTTGACAACTGTCTATAACTTCAGTTTCAGGGGATCTGATTTCTTCTGGCTTCTGTAGACATTACATGCATGTGGTGCAAAACACTACATACATTCATGTAAAACACTCATATACATAAAACAATAAATAAATAAATAAAAATGTAAAAAGAAACTGACCTAGATAGTAAACTTCTAACAAATGGTATAAATAGCACAGGCTCCAATCAATCAAAACTGATGCCATTCTTGAAAAATTCAACCCGGGGAATTGCAATATCCTAGAAAAATGTCAGTGGCTTTGAGCTCTATAAATTTTCCCTTGAAAGTGAATTGTGCACAGTGAAAAACCATACCATTAGCCTGCCTTATGCGTTCTTGCCAGTCTTTCCTTACAGGATAAAAAACTGCATTGAAGCTTCCAGCTGATGACTACATGGTATTTTTAATACTTGCACCTTAATATCAGAAAAATATAAATATCGGAAAAAGTAACACATTCCTATGACAGTACTAGAACAGTGAGCTAGTATTGTCAACTTAGAAACACAGATTTTCCAAGGTTTGTCTGTAAAATAAATTATAAAATTGCATAGAGACTGGCTCCTAAGATGGCAAGCAATCCATTTGGCCATAAAAGAAGCCATTTCTGGGTACTAATTCAAAAGCTTGTCACATTTCATTACATCTCTAAAGACTTCGGCATTGAAGAGAGGACAATTGTGTCCCTGTAGGTAAGCCTGAATACTATCTTTAGTGAGGTCTAGAGATAAACGCTGCAAGGCGAACAGAATCCATTTAGAATGAATTGGACAGAATGATTCTAAATTATGGCATTGAAATTCCTACTTCACTTATAGGAAGGAGATAAGGTAAAACAGTCCAGCTAATGGAACATGAGCCACTAATTTCCTGAGAAAGACAAAAGGAGGGGAGTGTATTGCTCTCACATGGAATGAATAATTTTCTTCGGTTTCCATGTTGACAATGAGAGACTGTAACAAGGGAGAAAGTAACAGGAGAGGCAGCCTCAGATCAAAACAAAGAACAATGGAAAGTCAAACAACGACTCTTATCTGTTCCATAGGTGAGTTCACCATCCTGGCTTTCCACAGTCTATTGACCAATGGCTTGGACTACATGAGCACAGTTGAGTCTACTTTTCATATCTGTGTGTGTGTGTGTGTGTGTGTGTGTGTGTGTAAGCCTTGGTTAAAATTTAAGCTTGCCAATTACTAGGTGAGAGAGTGTTTTCAAAGTTCACTGTTGAAACCGTTTTCCTGGATTCCACTTTTTCCAGGTTTGTAGCAGCACAGCCCTGCTGAGAACCTTGGGAAGAAAGTAGAGGTGGTGAGATTGCCAGGAAGTCAGGAGGTGAGCTGGAGAGGCAGGACTCACCTCTCAGGAGCAGGGAAAGTTCTTACAATTCCTCTAAACATCAATTTCCTTTCCTGAAGTTAGATATCTTATATCATAGACCTGCTGAAGGCTAAAGCCTAGCCTTGAGAAGCTGTCTAATCCATAAGCAAACTTCATCTTCTTGCTGATAAAAGAATCTAAATCTTGTAGACTTCTCTCCATTAATTATACTACAACTTATGACAAGCTTACTTTTTGCTAGCCAAACTTCTGAGCATTTTTGTCTAATTTAATTCCTTTTATAATCTGAGCTAGGCTATTCTTTCGATTTACTATTAAAAATTGATAGCTTTAGGGGTTGTAAGAAACTGGCTGAAAACACCTGATAAACTCAACAGGCGAACTGATTTTGGCTTCTTCCTGGCAGGTTGACTCCAGAACTACAATGAATTGCCATGCATACTGATTCCTTATGGCATATACGGAGGGCAGGCATTTCCTTTGGCATCTGGAAAGTTCAGCTCTACCTTTCACATAGACAGAAGAATCAGAGTAAGTGCTGTGACCAGGGGGAAGAGGTTACTATTGCATCAAGAGCTTCTGTGGAATGAAACAAGGCTCCTTATTGTAGCATTATTGTATTCTTCTTACCCTCACTGTCTGCTGGTTCTAGAACGGGTCACAGTGGGTAGAAGGTGCAATGGTTTGAATGAGAATGTCCCTTACAGGCTCCACATATTTGGACACTTGGTCCCCAGTTCATGGTGCTATTTGGGGAGGATTATGGAACTTTTAGGAGTTGTGACCATGCTGGAGGAAACATGTCACCGGGGGTGGGCTTTGAGAGCTCTTAAGCCTTGCTGGATTTCCAGTTTCTGCTTCCTGTATCTGCTTTAAATTGTGATTCCTTGGCTTTCTATTCTGGCCAGCTCCTGTCACTATGCCTCCCCCACCATTAAGGACTCTAATCCCTCTAGAACCATAGGCCAAATAAACTCTTCTTCCTTCTATAAGTTGCCTTGGTCATGGTGTTTTATCAAAGCAACAGAAAAGTAACTAATGAAGGCATAATTTTTCATACTGCTAGGTCAAAGCTGAACAGTATCCAGAGCCAGGCACCTGCAGTAATTGTTTTATGTATTGAGTTTTATAGGCAGGTCTGTGAAAACCAGGGAATATTATGAGTATCTTAGAAATTAATTATGTATTAAGGATTGAGCAATATTTCAAACTAATAGCTACTTTATAAACCTAATAGCTATGGGAGCAAACTGCTTTACTCAGTTTTCTCTGTTGATATATTACAACAACACAGGAGTGAATGAGCCAGCTACGAGCCTTGTAGTTGCTGGTCTGTTTTGAAAATGGAAAATGGTGAGCTGATTTCTGTCACGACCTACATGGGTGAACTAACAGTGAGGGCCGTTGGCAGCAATGAAATGTGCCTCTTGAAGTCTGATGAAATTTTGCTCCTAAGCTAACTGCCACAGTGCAAGCTATTCCATATTGCCACACCTACCTCCACCATTCATGATGGACTGCTACCTCTGAAACCACGAACCAAAATAATTCATTCCTCCCCTAAACTGTTGCTGTCAGGCATTTGGTCACAGCAATGATCAAAGTAACTTATGACAGAATCTTTTTTAGGAGAAGATGAATTTGAATGATATGTGTGATGTGGCACTGTATATGTGTATATGTGGGATGTATTTATAATTTGAAGGTGTGCATGTGTATCTTGTATGTGTGCATATCTACACTGTGTGGCATGTGCATTTATCTGTGAAAGGTGGTTATGTGTTCACAGGCATATGATTTTTATGCGATTTACATGTAAATATGGTGAATGTGCTTGTGGGATGTATAGACATGTGTCTGTAGTGAATTTGTATGTAGTGCATTATGCTTGTGGGTGTAAGAATAGCGTACAGACTTATAAGAGATAGGAAGATACATCTATATGTACTATGTATACACACTCTGTTATGTGTGTACTATAATATATATATTCATATTTGCATTTAGGGTATATATTTTTGTTAATGCGCATATGTATGCTTAGTAAATTTATATAGTGTGTGCATATATGTATGTGTGATTTGTGGTATGTATTCGTAAGTGCTATACATCTGTGTATATTGTGTGTGGCATATATTTTGTGCATATATGTGTTTAGTATATAGTATGTGTATGTAACATGTGCATTTATATGTGGATGTTCATAGGATTGTGTATATATTGCATATATGTGTCTGCATGTGTGTGTATTGTCTCTCACTGGTGTATGCTTGATATATTTGTATGTGTGATATGAAGATTGTGTGTTTGATATCAATGAGGTAGAATGAGCATATTACAGCTCTGTGTGCATTTGGTTGTGAAGAAGACAGAAAGAGGATGTATAGTAGAGTTATGGATACCCATTTAGCTATTAGAAGACCAAGATGAAGTGAGGGGCTATTCAAAACCATTGTTTTAACTAGGGTTGGCTTAAAAATAAGCTAAAATGCAATGGGGGAACCTTAAGTGGGAAAACCATGATGGAGGGGTGAGACAATGTG